TCTGGTCCACAAATTGATGGACTCTTCTTCCAATGCATTCAAGCAATTTACAATTATCTTCCATTTGCCGACACAGAAATAATACAAGTATTTGTCATCTCAAAGGTTTTATACACCAATATAGAGAGAGAGAGAGAGAGAGAGAGGAACAAAAGAGAAGTAAAAAAAAAATGAGAAATTCGGGATCAAATGGTTATGATATGCCATCCTTTTTTCTTTTTTTAATTGTAACAGGCAACAACAAAAGCTCTGGCTGTTCTGTAGGAGTGAAACATGAATAACATATATACTGGACATGACAAACCTAGTTTATGGTAGAAGGGTAAAATGAGGTACATAAGAAAGTTGAAGTAAGCAAGGTGTTATTGTCCAGAACATGAGATCAAAATTCTTTCTTCTCTCAGATTTCATGGAATTTGAGAAAAGTAGTCTGGCTTAGAGGAATTTGATTTGAGTGCTGATAATTTGGCTGAGCCCAGGGCTTAGAGGAGTTTCTAATGATTTTAACATGGTTTTCCGATAATTTCTGCAACTTCTTTTCTCTGCTGCGTGCAGCCTGTGCCACACAAAACCTCTACTTATCTCGAACCTAACAATATATTTATACAGCAGTTGTTTGAGTGCTAATAATGATTTTAGCCAAAACTATATGTAAATTTAACAAAAAAAAGTATCGTATATTTATTATGTTAGACATGAGTTGTATCATAATAATTTTTGTACATTACACACGTTAAATATGAGATAAACAAGCTAGATATATGAATTCAATAGTCTTATATTATATTTGGTATGTATTTAAAAAAAGTAAAAGATTACAAAAATGATTAATCATCCTTTTTGATATAAGATGATTCAATCCTTTTAAAGTAAGAATTATTTTTAATCAATGAAATTAAATTTATATGTACTATTATACTCTTAAAAATTACATCAATAATTTAAATTATATAAATTTTAACCAATAAATAAATTATCTTATCATAATCCTTACACACATCAAATACAAAATAAAATGACATTATTTAATATAATTTTATTTATAATATCATTTTATTCTATCCTATTACAATCTTGTATATCAAACACATCCTAAAGTCTCTTAGCCTATCCATCTGCACAAATCTTGAAGATAAACCAATATATAAGAAGATATATTGAAGCAGCACTAAGCCATACAAACACAATAACTAGGAAACACATAACAAAGCTGGGATCAGCAATAGGCTAACATAAATTTAATGGAAGTTACCACACATCAAGTAATTCTTGCTCAGAAACTCGTATACCAAAGGCTTTGACCTACATTGATGATAATTCATAGCTGAACCACTGTTTTTTTTTTTTTCTTTCCTTTTATACAATATAAAGGGCATATCTGAACAACTGTTTAATGCACTGAGTTGCCTAGAAATTTGGCCTTGCAGGTTGGACACATATAACCAACTGAATCTGATTGTATTTCAGAATCAACAGCCTCCTGGTTGAACTCCGTTCCACACCACACACAAACAGTTTTAAGCTGATGCTTGCCAGCCATATTTAACAAAACTTCTGATTCAAACTGATTCGAAGAACTGTAAGCACCACCTATATCTGGATTATTGACCAAATCCATCGGAACCTCTGGCAATGAGGGAGATACTTGTACACCCGCAAAGCTGAATTTTAGCCGCTCTATTTCATCCAACCTTAGTTCATCAAATCCTGCTATACTGTCATGCCTCTGATCAATGCTGCACAAACCATCTTCTCCCTGTTGTTACACATGGAGAACATAAACTAATTTCTTTTGTGAAATAATTTCAGCCAACAATTTCTCCTGCATGATCTAACATGCACAAGAAATCTACGACATTTAAACCTCCAATAGTGCCAGACTACAACGGACAAAAGATTTAGCGTATAAGAAAAAACCATCACTAGGTTAAATTTTGTACTAAACAATAAAACAATTGATAACTCACATTGCACAACCTTATTTTGCGCACAAGGGGAAATTTAAAATAAACTAAGAAGTTTAAAACCTTATTTCCATTCTAGAGACATAAATATTTCTTTTGAGTTAAAAAAAGTAACATTTAGAAACTACTCAACCAACTGAAACTTTTGATGAACCAGATCAACCAACGTAAGCAACCAATAAGGAAAGCTTATCACTGGCAACTATACAACCAGATTGAGGTAAATTGCATTGCAAAAGAAAAAGGTAAATCATAACCATCTACAAATGGAGAAATATAAGACTTCTTGTGAGCATCACAACAATCTCAGTGTTTACACCACATTGTATTGATAAAGCAACAAAAAAATAGAACAGTGGCTTTATACCTTATTTGAGATAGCATTTGATACTGATGTACCACTTAGTGGTTGCAATAGGGGCATTGATGATTCAGACACTTCGTCAGGAAGTACATTTTCCTCGGATGTTTGATGTATTGTATCAGGTGCAACATCTTTAGCTGGCCCAGAACTATTTCCAATACCAATAACTAACTCAGTTTTCTTATTATTCTCCGCTTCTTCAGGCTTTGGATGCTCCCTTGTGCCAGCACCATCTAAATTGATTCTCAACATCATAGATACCCTGATCAGCGGAGAGAACAAGTAAGTTGCTTTCAGAACCTCTTTGCTGCTCAATGCAAAACTTGTCGAGTTCTTTGGCATGAAATGTTAAACCATCCTTTTCTGACTAAAGCTTCAGATATACTACCATTTTGCTCATCCATAGATGCGGAAATCGTAGCATCAAAAAGAGAATCCATATTCACAGCATCGCTACCTTCATCAATCTTCTTGGTCTTTTCATCAATGAACATAGGCTCACAGGTTTGTTGAAATAAATCTTGATTCACTGTTCTATTAGTTGTTTCATCCCCTGTTCCCGATTCACTTAAAGGGGAATCAGAATTCATTTCATGATCAGAAGTAGAAGCAGGAATTTCTGCATTCAATTTATCAAGACTTGGCCCATCATTGAGTTCATATCTAGGTACAGCAGTAGTAGTTTCAAGAATAGAATTCTGGGCAATTTCAATTAAAGCATCCATTTTGGAGATCCTCGAGGGCAACTCTTGCTTAGTTACAACCGCAGTTCTCCTTGGAAGAGTCAGTAAACCAGGTGAATCTTCAATTCCTCTCACAAAGTTCCTAACATGGATCCCTAAATGACCATTGTACCGACGCCGTTCATGAAATACCTTATGACAGAACTGACATTCAAATTTCCCATCTCTACGTATCACACCGTCTCCAACAGAAGAACCAAGTCTATTCCTCCTTGTAGTCCTCTGATGAAATGATAAAAGGTGTTCTAAATATGCATCCTTCTCATCAAATGTCATATTGCATTTATGACATACAAAAAGATCGTGTATTTGAACTTCAGGTTATCAATACCCAGTAAGTAAACGTCCTTCTCATGTTCAGCAGACCGCCTCTGATAATCCTCTTTCTGGATAGCACCTTCCTGCCATTGCATGACCATATTAAACAATGTTAAGAATTTATTTTTTCTTTCATGAGTAAAATCAATGTGAAGGCAAACTTCACTTACATTTTCGGAAGACATTTGATGAACCTGCTGAGTAATGTCACCACCTTCATCCATTGTCAAGGGTGCATCATGGAGTCCAAAATAGGATTGCATGTATGCAGAGACTTCCTTGCATGATATAAATTGCCGGCCATCAGGACTGAAAAAAAAAAAAAAAAGAAAGAAAGATGATGCCTGGGAGAGAAATTGAAGTTTATTCATGATATGAATCTCTAATTGGTCATGAAAGTGTCGTCTGATAGCCCACAAAGTGTCGAAAATCAAGATTGTGTCTTTGATTAATTAAAATATAAACCCCAACAAAGAAAAATACCGTAAAATGTTGTTTTTCTTTCCTTTCGATTCGCATTGTAACTATATTGGTATTTAAAAAAAAGAACAAGAAATCACCTCATATATCTGCGGCAATAAACCGAAGCGCGACCTTCCCTCCTCTTCAACCCCAACAAAAGCTTCCATCCTACAGGCAACACATCGCCGAAACTACTAGCGTCAACAATTTTCCTCTTCCTTCTCCCGCTACACCATCGCCCACCCAAATCTCTCACAAACCCAAGCAAAGCCTCCTCATTTCCCGACATTCCCTCGGTCCTCCTTTTCAATTCGTCCCCATTAGGATCGTCCATATCACCCAATGCCGCCTAATCGACAGCGACACCGTTTTTGTTCACAATCTCTAAACCCCTCTCTCTATCTTCCCCAGCATTCCCAGCCTGCATTTTGGGCTTCCTTCCTCTCTTTCTCTTCCCAAGACTGATCATGGCATCTTTAATCTCGAAATCTACCATGGTATCCCTCATCCCGTAACTTACCATCGTGTCCCTCGGGGAAGAAGGAGGGGAAGTAAAGTCAAGGTGTTGGAATTCGGGGTGGGATTTGAGGGAGACTTTGAGGTACGAGATTATAGATCGGTTTTCTAGGGCTTCGGGATCGTGGAGAGGAGGGAAAGGAGGGGTGGTTTGGGGGAAGAGAGGAGGCCGGGGAGACGGTGGCGGAGAGGGTGATGATGGGAGGAATGGTGGTTGTTTGGGGAAGGGCGGGAGAATATCTGGCGACGGGAGCCGGCGGATTCATTGAAGCTGGAACGGTCGATGGAAGGGATTACAATATTGTCGGAGCGTTGAAGGTCGAAGGCGGTTGGGGAACAAAGGGAGAGGAAGAGGAGCTCTGATTGGGTTAGGGTAGTCAGTTCCACGAGAGGGAGAGAATCCATGGTTAGCGGCTGAGCCGCGGTGAGTGTAGCCATGGCAGTGGCTTGGTGCAAACAAGGGAAGAGGGTCAGAAATTTCTTTACCCAACCTAAAAAATCTTAACGTTGCATAACAAAAATTTTGCCATTGGCAAAACGAGCTAGTATTGATACACAATTTGGTCAAAATAAAAAAGAAATCTTTTGTTGGAAATTACTCAAGTGGATAAAAAATATATATATAATGTTTTATATTCATAAAAACAATTCATACTGCCACAAAATATAGAGGCATATAAAGTTTCTAGGAGACACTCCTGACTTGCTCAGTTTGGTGTTGGAGCCTCTTTCTTCCATTAATGGCAGTCGCAACTCTCTATAATACAAGGTAAACATTTTTCTCCGCTTTCAAACTTTTCCCTCCACACCCATCATTGCCCCAAGACAGGACCCGCGACGCACGCAGTTCATTGTTCAATACCAACAGTGAAACCCAAAACCCAAACTTGAGAAACAGGGCCATATTTGGCAGTTTCAGGTTCGTCATCTTTATGTTTTTGTAATCTATATGCTCTCTAAATATCTAAAAGATTTGAGATTTTAGGCTTCTCTTAATTGCTTTGTTATCAAGATTCCCGTGATCATTTCCCTTCACTGCTTGTTTTCGACTCGACTAAACATGCAAAGGTAATATTTTTCGGTGCCAAAACTATTTCATAATTCTTGATTCTTTTATACAGAGTTTTTTTTTTTATGGCGACTATACATTGTAGAAACACCATGGTGACTTGGTCAGGTTTTCGACCTCGATTTATGTCAGGCTTTAATACAAACAAATTGCGGCTATCTCAAGGGCGGTGAGATTCTCTCCATGAAGGTTTAAGAATTGGTTTCTTTGTATGTATGTTGTTCATGTTTTAGTTTTAGATACATGATATCATTTAAAAGGAAAATATTGAGGCATTTTTGGTTCTATGTTTCCTAAATGTACTGCAAGTTCTTTTAATAAATATTTTCATTTACCGGGTTAAATTTTTAATTTTTTAGTAGGTGCAGCTTTTGGCTTCCTGATTATGTGATCTTATCTGCTACACATCAATCATGGTTTTTCCTTTAGAGCGACATTTTGATGTGTTGTGTTCTGTTATGCAGTGTTGGGACTGAGATAGGAGCATTAGGTTTTTCCAGTTCAAGCATGTTTTCTCAAAATTTGGCCCTTACGTTATTTAATTCACCTAAAAATCCATGTCAACACTTGGGAAGGCGTCTGATTGTGAAAGCTGCTCAGGTGAGTGTTTGCCTTTTACCTTACAATGATGGTTCTTGTGATAACAACTGTAGTTCTGTGATCTTTCTTCTTGCTGGTTCTTTTGCCCTGCTTTCTGGTATTTTGTTGCCAAACTGCATGCATATTTATTTCAGATAAAATTTGTTATTGCAGGATTATTATTCCATTCTTGGGGTGTCTAAAAATGCCAGCAAATCAGACATAAAAAGCGGTGAATACACTACCCTGATTATACTTGACTTCTATATTTGTACCTTATCCATCTATATTTCACTTGACATAGTTGCATACGATGGCTTTTTTTTTTTCTTTCACAACTGACTTTTAGGTCTACGTATGTCAGTCTTCCCCTAATATTTCTTTCCTGTTCCACCAGAGTCTTTGTGGAAGAATCTCACACTCTGTATTTATTTGTGCTCTACTCTGAATGCTCATCTACCATTCCTGACCTTGAAGACATTTTGTCTTGAAGAGTCACCATCCTTTTCTAGTAACTTTATGGACAAATATTCTATGCATTGTGCAGTGACCGGAGTTGTCTATCCCTTCACCTTGTAAACCTTACTTCCATCATCCTCATTGAAAGATTATAGATCAATGGATCCAGTTAAGAAATCTCCCTTTTGCATTACTTTACCTCTCCTTAGGCTTTAATTTGGTGGCTGCCAAGAGTTTCATTGATTAGGAGTTCAATTCCTATTATGTTAACATTGCTTAGTTAGCTGTATTTACTGAAGTATATAGGAGTTTCGCCTTTGTAATATTTCCTTCATCCATCATAGTCATGTAAATTAGGAGCTACAAATATATTGCCTTTGATTCATTCTTACTGACTATATCCTTTTCATGTTCAGCTTATCGAAAGCTTGCCATGAGTTATCATCCTGATGTGAACAAGTAAGTTAAAGTATAAATTTTTGCATCTGTTCACATTTTACTGGTAGCAGCTGGACTATCAAAACTATCAAGTATCAATCCCATCCCTCTCCTGGGAAAAAGTCCATTTTATTATTTGTTTTTGTTAATGTATTGCTACAATGGGATCAAACCAAGACGTATTGGATTCTTTCTTTCACGGTGTCGGCTGTGTGCTTGTCCTTTCAGACACTAATGTGAGTACCGCATTCCATATTTGTTATATTTGAAAAATAAAAAGGAAAAGAAAAGGAGAGAAAAGCTTAACATCCTTGTTACAGGTGTGCGGCCAAAGTTGTATTGGCCAATGGGTATGTATTGTTGTGGCAAAAAGCATAATAAAGTACGGATTCATTTAAACATGAATATAGATAACTGGGGCTTATTTCATTCTATGCTCTCATCAACTGCTAATTATTTTTGTTTGTTACTGCCATAGGCAGTCTGGTTGATTTGTTGCAGCATTTGCTGCTCCTTGGATGAATAAAAAGCTTTACTTGTCCAAAAAAGGAAAAAAAAGAGAATAGAGATAGCTAACATATCTCTTTCAATTTTAGTTTGTATTTTACTTTTACTAGGGATCCTACTAAAAATATTAGTTCTTTCGTGTTTGCCAATCAGTGCTCGAAGTCTCAAGATTGACTTGCCACCTTGAACCACAGTAATTTGCAAGAATCACTGATTTATTATGTCTATCACTTGCTAACTTGAGTACTTAACTAGTATATTGATGTGCTTTAGTGATTGCTAATCATGCTTTGATTAGATAACAAGAAGTGGCCATTGAAAATTGGGCATTATTATAGCAATTAGTAAGATTGTAGCTGTTAAACTGCAAGTCTGCAACTGTCCAAACTTAATCCCAAATTAAGGCAATGCTACGGAAACAGTATCCAACAAAAGGGAAGGAACAACTAGTAGTAAGCTTGTAAATGCTATATCCAGGACTGGCAGTCTTTGAAAATTACTGGTGATATTTTATTTGAGTCGGGATACATCCATTCATAGCATTTATAATTAAGTTATTTACATTTGGTATAATCGTTTTGTAGCTTTATTATATGTGCCATCTCTAATCATTATATGGACATGCTTGATCTGAAATATTATGTTTGTGGTCTATGCATCGTTTCTTTATTTCAGTTCAAGGAGATGCATTGGAAATTCTTATCATCTGCAGCTGCATTTCTTACATTTTGTTGCCCTTTCTAATCCTTCCATTAGCTAGAACATGTAGTTAAAATGCATACTTTTCACTATTTTATCCTGTTATATCTGTCTTTGTTTCTGTTTCCATACATTTTTGTCAGCATTGAGGCAGAGTTCTTTGTTATAATATGTTCAAAATGACATTACTTGAATGACTACACTTCGTTTTTGAAAACATTTTCTCAATTTCTTAATTTTGTGCCAATATATATTGTGGGTTTTGGGAACCAGGAGCTGAACAAAAATTTAAGGAGATTAGTGAAGCTTATGAGGTATGAATCTGATTCCAAACATGGGCTATTAGTTATAATGCCTGGTTGAGCATAGGCTTTAATAACCATGGCAGTTGCTTCTTTAAGAGACTTCTACAATAAAGATGAAAAACACTATGATGCTGGTCTTATCAGATGATGAAAAACGTTCTATATATGACAGGTATGGAGAAGATGGTCTTAATCTAATATAGGCGTGGGGTAAGTTAATCCAATTGAAGAAAAAATCTGTGAAATTCGGTTGTTTTTCATTTCTGTACTCCTTTATTTTAAACACATCACTCCTCTTACACAGTCAAATCTTTGCCATACTATTCTGGTAGGGCTTTACCAATCCATTTGACCTATTTAGCTCATTATTCGACATGGACATTGGAAATAGAGGTGCCAGAAATATGGCTGCAGATGGTGAAGATCTAATTTACAATCTTGCCTTGACTTTCAAGGAAGCTGTCTTTGGGGTTGAAAAGAGTTTGAAGTGTCCAGGCTTGACAGCTGTAACACCTGTGATGGCTCAGGTGCAAAGCCAGGGACAAGGGCATCTACATGTACCACATGCGGTGGGCAAGGGCAAGTTATATCATCGTCAAGGACTCCACTGGGTGTCTTCCAGTAGGTGATGACATGTTCTGCCTGCAGTGGAACTGGGGAAACATTGACTCCTTGTACCACTGTGGTGGTCATGGCAGAGTAAGAAAATCAAAGAGGATTAGCCTGAAGATCCCTGCTGGGGTTGATTCCGGTAGTCGGTTGAGAGTCAGATCAGAGGGCAATGCCGGAAGCAGAGGGGGTGCCCCTGGTGATCTTTTTGTTGTCATCGAAGTGCTTCCAGATCCTGTACTGAAACGGGATGGTTCAAACATTCTCTATACATGCAAGATTTCTTATGTTGATGCAATCTTGGGGACAACAGTGAAGGTGCCAACTGTTGATGGATCAGCTGATCTTAAAATCCCCCCTGGTATCCAGCCTGGAACAACTTTGGTTATGGCAAAGAAAGGTGTGCCCTTGCTGAATAAAGGCAACATGAGGGGGGACCAATTAGTGAGAGTGCAGGTCGAAATCCCGAGAGAGCTGAGTAATGAAGAAAGGAGGCTTGTTGAAGAACTAGCCGACCTGAAGAAGACCAAGACTCTTAATGGTAGGAGATAGGGGGCATATTGCCATCAGCTATTTTCCTGGAATGCCTGCGGTTCTCATACAACAAGTTCTGCTGCAGCAATTGAAGTAGACTGTTGGATTTTTTGGTTCTTTTCTTATTTTTGTATAATACTTGCATCTTGTGTAGGAAAGAAGACTCTAAGAGAGGGACAATTTTGTTAGTGAATCATATAAATTGCAATTGTGCACTATGTTACCACTGCATTATTTTGAAAATTGTGTAAAATCTACATAAACAATCTTCTTATCCTCTATCAATCTTAGTTTGTTCATTGATCATTCAGTTCACATTCCTAGGATTGATCACTTGTCTCTTGGTTCCAAAATGTGTGACACACGAACGAAATCATTCTGCAAAGTAGAAAAATGCAAAATGGGGTGAGAGAGGCTCGAACTCTCGACCTCAGGATAACTCAGCAAGCTATGAGACCTACGCGCTAGCCAACTGCGCCACCACCCCGTTGGTGCCCATGGCAATCAAAATTAAATATAATAGATGAGACTAGAGATGAGGGATTCCAAACATGAGCAGGGGATGAATCGTTAACATTACCAACTTTTTTGGATTCAGTTACATCCCATAATTTAAGAGCCAAAGCAGCTATCAGAAGCAGAGTTGCCACATTTGAGCTCTAGGACAGGATTCAGAAACGTTTTCTCTTTTAAAAACTTTGGATTCAATATTATTACTAATATGGAAAAGTTTTCCTTTCTTTTTTTTTTTTTCTGAAATACAAAATTTAGAAATGGAAATCATGCAGTAGTTACAGTCGGAACATTAATAATAATTTCTCTAACCAAGGTTTCTTTTATCCACCGAACAAAGTGTTATCCTGCAGAAAGAAAAGAAACGTTGAAGTACGAATCATGCATCCATAACAAGCTGAGGTGAAAAATAGATATCGTGGTATGGATATTACTTTCTAACTGCTGTCGCTGCACAACGTTAGTGGCTGATCTAGTTTGGGCTAATGGAGTTAGATAACCCACCAATGAGATTTAGAACTCAACTTTTACCACCCTAAACCATTTGACCAGCCTATATTTGATTATTTGGCCAACCACAATTAATGTTTTTGACAACTCCTTAGTCCAAGATCGATTGAGTAGGTGAGCTAAAACAAGAAGCGTTAAGAGGGATATCTACATTTTCCCAACCAAACTGGAGCATAAATTCACCTACCTGATGTATAGGTCAAGCCCCCCTGATTCCTGGTTATATAAACCCAACACCTGGCCTTGTTTTTCCTCACTCAAACCGTAAGAGAACACCTTTCCTCTATTAGAAAAAAGAGCACTCTTGATTGATACGAAATCTGTTAAAAAATGGCCTCTTTCAGAAGCTTTATCTTGGCTTTCTTCATGGCTTTGTCATTCAACGTTGGTCTAGCGGCTCGTCACCTTCTTCAGTTGCCAACTTTGCCTCCAATGCCAACTTTGCCTGGAGCAACACTCCCACCATTGCCATCTTTGCCAAATCTCCCTCAGCCAACAATTCCCACATTGCCAACTACACTACCATCTCTGCCCAAGCCTGGCGCCCTGCCTCCACTTCCTACCATGCCCACCCTTCCAACCTTGCCTACTGCCCCAAAGGTCACTCTGCCTCCACTGCCTAGCATGCCCTCAATCCCCACAATCCCAACTACGATCCCATCCATCCCATTCTTCTCCCCACCACCTGCAAAAACTAGCCCTTGAAACATTCCTTTTAAGTTGCCTCGAATTGTTTGTTCCTTTATATAAAAAGACTACACCTTTATGTCTTTGTTTCATTTCATGATCTGCTTTATTAATTTGTTGTATGTGCAAATGGCTGATTGGCAGTTGCCCAATTGCCTATTTATTGGTGTAATTTGAGATATACTCCTGTATCTGGATTCATATACATTATATTTCTTGTTTATCTCACATATTCTATGTTTTTTTTACTTTTTAAAATTTGAGATATGAGCTGATACTTAAATTTACAAACGACAAGAGAATAACACTATAACTTTATAAACATATATTCATGGATCAAAGAATAATTCTCACAACTCAATTCTATAAACAAAAAAAAAAAGGGTTTATTTATCAACATGCAAAAATGGTGCAGTGCTGCTGCAGTATCAGATTGAAGTCTGCATCGAATGCTGAAGTAGTTCTTGATTACAAAGGATATCAATGGATCCACCTTTCAATTTTCGAACATGCTGTAACATTCCTACCTTTATACTTGATCGGAGAATGACTTACCCCTTATATAGGCCACCAGAAACATTGAATTAATTTTCATTCCTGCTCACTAGCATAGAAATAATATAAAATTTTGTGATTTCTCGACCTTCAACGGAGCATAAGTCAATCCATATCTATATCTAGATTGATGCCCTCATTTCGTCCAGGGTTTCTTTTAAAACAAATATTTGCAAAATTTTTATTTAATTAATTTTAAAATGTAATTTTAAATTAAATCATATATTAAATAAAAATTATTAATTTAAATGATTTTACTTTTTATATATTTTATTATATGTATTGACGTTCATTTAGTCATATTTTATCAATTATGAAAATTAAATATATGAAAATTAATTATTTATACATTAAATAATAAGAATGCCTTTGGAAGTTTAATTTATTTGCATTTTTTTTAAAATATTTATAATTTATTATATATCTTAACATATAGTTTTATTTATGGTATAAAAATATATTAAATTTTATGTTATCAAAATCTTTTAACAAAAAAGTTTTCCTAAATAGTTTTTTTATCATTTAATTTATTTAATAAATTACTATATTTAATTTTTATTCTTACCCTTTCATTTAAAAAATAATTGATAAATTTAATGCATGTAAAAAATTAAATAAGCAAAAAAAAAAGGATAGTAATTATTTAATTTGCTTTTGGATTTAATCAAATTAAAGGAGTCGTCTAATTCACTAGTCTTCCTTCATTCGAATCATGGGACGGATTCTCACGATTTCTTTTTCAATATCTATATATTCTCGACAATCTGATCCAAAGTTGAAATTCAATGTGAGGAATTTAAAAAAAAACTTGGAGCCCTAAATATCTTATAGCTGTAAATTTGGTAGGATTTGACATAAAAAAAAATTTATTTTCATCTAAATGGAAGATGAAATTGATGATACAACAGCAAATTGAAAATTAGGGATAATTTCTATATATTGTTATATCTGTCTTTGTTTCTGTTTCCATACATTTTTGTCAGCATTGAGGCAGAGTCCTTTGTTATAATATGTTCAACATGACATTACTTGAATGACTACACTTCGTTTTTTGAAAACTTTCACAAAATTTCTTAATTTTGTCCAATGTATATTGTGGGTTTGGAACCAGGAGCTGAAGCAAAAAATTTAAAGGAGATTCATTGAGCTTATTTGAGTATGAATTGATTCAACATGGGCATTAGTTATAATGCCTGGTTGAGCATAGGCTTTAATAACCATGGGCAGTTGCTTCTTAAGCAGAACTTCTACAATTAAAGATGGAAAAAACACTATGATGCTGGTCTTATCAGATGATTTGAAAACAGTTCTATATTATGACAGAATACTCCGAAGAAGATGGTCTTAATCTATTAGGCATGGGGGTTAAGTTAATCCATTGAAGAAAAACTGTGAATTCGGTTGTTTTTCATTTCTGTCCTCCTTTATTTTAAACACATCACTCCTCTTACACAGTCAAATCTTTGCCATACTATTCTGATAGGGCTTTACCAATCCATTTGACCTATTTAGCTCATTATTCGAAATGGACATTGGAAATAGAGGTGCCAGAAATATGGCTGCAGATGGTGAAGATCTAATTTACAATCTTGCCTTGACTTTCAAGGAAGCTGTCTTTGGGGTTGAAAAAGAGTTTGAAGTGTCCAGGCTTGACAGCTGTAACACCTGTGATGGCTCGGGTGCAAAGCCAGGGACAAGGGCATCTACATGTACCACCTGCGGTGGGCAAGGTAAAGTTATATCATCGTCAAGGACTCCACTGGGTGTCTTCCAGTAGGTGATGACATGTTCTGCCTGCTGTGGAACTGGGGAAAAATTGACTCCTTGTACCACTGTGGTGGTCATGGCAGAGTAAGAAAATCAAAGAGGATTAGCCTGAAGATCCCTGCTGGGGTTGTTTCCAGTAGTCGGTTGAGAGTCAGATCAGAGGGCAATGCCGGAAGCAGAGGGGGTGCCCCTGGTGATCTTTTTGTTGTCATTGAAGTGCTTCCAGATCCTGTACTGAAACGGGATGGTTCAAACATTCTCTATACATGCAAGATTTCTTATGTTGATGCAATCTTGGGGACAACAGTGAAGGTGCCAACTGTTGATGGATCAGCTGATCTTAAAATCCCCCCTGGTATCCAGCCTGGAACAACTTTGGTTATGGCAAAGAAAGGTGTGCCCTTGCTGAATAAAGGCAACATGAGGGGGGACCAATTAGTGACAGTGCAGGTCAAAATCCCGAGAGAGTTGAGTAATGAAGAAAGGAGGCTTGTTGAAGAACTAGCCGACCTGAAGAAGACCAAGACTCTTAATGGTAGGAGATAGGGGGCATATTGCCATCAGCTATTTTCCTGGAATGCCTGCGGTTCTCATACAACAAGTTCTGCTGCAGCAATTGAAGTAGACTGTTGGATTTTTTGGTTCTTTTCTTATTTTTGTATAATACTTGCATCTTGTGTAGGAAAGAAGACTCTAAGAGAGGGACAATTTTGTTAGTGAGTCATGTAAATTGCAATTGTGCACTATGTTACCACTGCATTATTTTGAAAATTGTGTAAAATCTACATAAACAATCTTCTTATCCTCTATCAATCTTAGTTTGTTCATTGATCATTCAGTTCACATTCCTAGGATTGATCACTTGTCTCTTGGTTCCAAAATGTGTGACACACGAACGAAATCATTCTGCAAAGTAGAAAAATGCAAAATGGGGTGAGAGAGGCTCGAACTCTCGACCTCAGGATAACTCAGCAAGCTATGAGACCTACGCGCTAGCCAACTGCGCCACCACCCCGTTGGTGCCCATTGCAATCAAAATTAAATATAATAGATGAGACTAGAGATGAGGAATTCCAAACATGAGCAGGGGATGAATCGTGTATTTTTGGATAACATTACCAACTTTTTTGGATTCAGTTACATCCCATAATTTAAGAGCCAAAGCAGCTATCAGAAGCAGAGTTGCCACATTTGAGCTCTAGGACAGGATTCAGAAACGTTTTCTCTTTTAAAAACTTTGGATTCAATATTATTACTAATATGGAAAAGTTTTCCTTTTTTTTTTTTTTTTTTGAAATACAAAATTTAGAAATGGAAATCATGCAGTAGTTACAGTCGGAACATTAATAATAATTTCTCTAACCAAGGTTTCTTTTATCCACCGAACAAAGTATTATCCTGCAGAAAGAAAAGAAACGTTGAAGTACGAGTCATGCATCCATAACAAGCTGAGGTGAAAAATAGATATCGTGGTATGGATATTACTTTCTAACTGCTGTCGCTGCACGACGTTAATGGCTGATCTAGTTTGGGCTAATGGAGTTAGATAACCCACCAATGAGATTTAGAACTCAACTTTTACCACCCTAAACCATTTGACCAGCCTATATTTGATTATTTGGCCAACCACAATTAATGTTTTTGACAATTCCTTAGTCCAAGATCGATTGAGTAGGTAAGCTAAAACAAGAAGCGTTAAGAGGGATGTCTACATTTTCCCAACCAAACTGGAGCATAAATTCACCTACCTGATGTATAGGTCAAGCCCCCCTGATTCCTGGTTATATAAACCCAACACCTGGCCTTGTTTTTCCTCACTCAAACCGTAAGAGAACACCTTTCCTCTATTAGACAAAAGAGCACTCTTGATTGATACGAAATCTGTTAAAAAATGGCCTCTTTCAGAAGCTTTATCTTGGCTTTCTTCATGGCTTTGTCATTCAACGTTGGTCTAGCGGCTCGTCACCTTCTTCAGTTGCCAACTTTGCCTCCAATGCCAACTTTGCCTGGAGCAACACTCCCACCATTGCCATCTTTCCCAAATCTCCCTCAGCCAACAATTCCCACATTGCCAACTACACTACCATCTCTGCCCAAGCCTGGCGCCCTGCCTCCACTTCCTACCATGCCCACCCTTCCAACCTTGCCTACTGCCCCAAAGGTCACTCTGCCTCCACTGCCTAGCATGCCCTCAATCCCCACAATCCCAACTACGATCCCATCCATCCCATTCTTCTCCCCACCACCTGCAAAAACCAGCCCTTGAAACATTCCTTTTAAGTTGCCTCGAATTGTTTGTTCCTTTATATAAAAAGACTATACCTTTATGTCTTTGTTTCATTTCATGATCTGCTTTATTAATTTGTTGTATGTGCAAATGGCTGATTGGCAGTTGCCCAATTGCCTATTTATTGGTGTAATTTGAGATATATTCCTATATCTGGACTCATATACATTATATTTCTTGTTTATCTCACATATTCTATGTCTCTTTTATTTTTTAAAATTTGAGATATGAGCTGATACTTAAATTTACAAACGACAGGAGAATAACATTATAACTTTATAAACATATATTCATGGATCAAAGAATAATTCTCACAACTCAATTCTATAAACAAAAAAAAAAAGGGTTTATTTATCAACATGCAAAAATGGTGCAGTGCTGCTGCTGTATCAGATTGAAGTCTGCATCG